CCCAGCCCGCCTCGCCACCCGCGGTGGGGTTGTCCCCTCGACGTCACCCCGGGCCCCTCCGACGTCCCCTCTCTCCCCCGTCCTGACTGTCGGAAGGAAAGCTGTGGTTCTGGGCAGCGACTCCGGGGAGACGCTTAACCACCCAGGAACCCCCGATGGCTGGACAGAGAAGGAAAAGGGGGAGACGGGGGCGTGAGGGCGGCTGTGGTCAGGGAAATCCCGGGGATGAGTTGTGGGGGTGAGCTGACCAAAAGGAGCCTAGCGGTGGAGAGAAACCTGAAGCAGCAGGCAGTTTGCTCATGTGGGCCAGAAGGAGCGGACAAGTGGCTCTGTGTGTGTGTGTGTGTGTGTGTGTGTGTGTGTGTAGTGGGACAACATGAATATGGGTGGGAGTGAGAATGTGCTGTGTTCTGAGGGTGCATCCTCTTGTGTGTTGGTACGTGCAGAAACTCCTTGTTCTGGTGAAGGATGTGAGGAAACTTTCCAAAGAATTTTGGAATTTCGCTCAAGTCAGAAAGGGTCATGGAGTCACCTTGTCACAGTCACCGCCTGGGGCAGTGTGTCAGGAAGGTGGTGGCGACGGTTGACAGGAGACTCAGAAGCATGACTGAGGGATGCAGAGTGTCTGGATTGTGTATGGAGTGGGTGGATGAGCGTGTGCATGGGATGATTAAATATGTGTGTATATGTCATTCTGTTGCCCTTTGTACCTCGTGGCATCCTATGGTGTGTCACACTGTGGTATGTGTCAACCAGTGCATGTCATTGAGAGAGAGAGCCGAGCCTACAACCAAGATGGTATTGAGGTGAACCGAGCCTGGAGTGGCTAAGTCTCTGAGGCCTACGCTCAGAAAGGATGGGAAGTGGTGTGGATGTCCAATGTATGCATGGTGATGGAGAGGACTGGGAAGACAAGGGTTATTGCTGGCTGCATTGAACCTAGATTAGGAAACTTGTGCCTCCATGTGTTTGCTTCTCTTTGGATTTTTCTGCCATGTTTCTGTCTTCCCCCAAAGCTCTGGTTCCCACCATACTGGGATACCCAGAGTGCCTGTGACCATCTCATCCATTGTACATTTTTCTCTTCTCTCCCAGGGACTCCTACTCAGCTTCAAGGCCACTTTGGCCTCCTATTGAAGAAGTGACAGGCTGGGTGCTATGGTTCATGCCTGTAATCCCAGCACTTTGGGAGGCCAAGGTCAGGAGATCGAGATCATCCTGGCCAACATAGTGAAATCTCATCTCTAATAAAAATACAAAAATTAGCTGGGTGTGGTGGCGTGCACCTGTAGTCCCAGCTACTCGGGAGGCTGAGGCAGGAGAATGGCTTGAACCCAGGAGGAAGAGATTGCAGTGAGCCGAGATCACACCATTGCACTCCAGTCTGGGCTACAGAGCGACTCCGTCTCAAAAAAA